TCTATCTATTTCTATCTATCTATCTATTTATTTATCTTTCTTTTTATTCAACTTTTTAAATTTTTTTTTTTTTTTTTTTTTTTTCTTCTCAAAACCTAAAAATAGCTTTGACCTTGTTTCTGATAAAGTTTTTAAATAATTGTTTGTTGTGAAACACCAGTTTCCAATGGAGCAGAAGATTGATGCAAAGATGAAGAATCAAGAGCAACGATTACAATGAAAGCGAGATCAAGAAATGATTCGTCGGCAAAACGAAACAGAGCATCAACGTCGTAATCAAATGGAAAAAGACGCTGAGCAGCACAAAGAGGCACGAAAATATTGATTATGAAAAAATCAAAAGAGAAATATTAGATATATTACAAGAATAAATGATTTTCGAAGGTTTACAAGAATCTGTTTGTTGCGTCTGTGATGAACTTCAACTTAAAAATAAAATATATAAACACACAACTAAAGACGAACAAATAATAGACAAAATGATTGAATTTTTAAAAAATTCAGATGAAAACCTTCACAAAGATACAAAATAATATTATGATTATACTGAATTTAGTAAACAATTTATAAACTTATTACTTTCAAAAAAAAGATTTAAAATAAACGACAAAGAAAATGAAATTGAATTTTATATTTGTGACAATTGTGAAAAATCATTACTCGATAGTAAAAAAGGTCAAGATAATTTGTCAAAATTTGCAATCGCTAATCATTTTTTTATAGAGGAATTACCTAAATCTATACAACAACATACATGGTCAGAATTAATTATAACAAATATAATTACAATTATAGCACAGACAAGAGTCTTACGAGGTGGTTTACATTGAGCTATTCGATCTCACTTACTTCTATTTGATGCAATTTCAGGACCACCAGCAATATTACTACCCAGATAAATCAATACTGATAATTTTTATAGAATTATTTTAGCAGGTCATTCACTGAACCACAACTTACACAATTTAAAAAAAAAACATTCAATTCGTCATTATGTTGTTTACCAACTATTATAATTTTATAAATTAAACAATAAATATTATAAACATATACCAATAGACGAGAATAAAATCAATGCTTCAGAAAAAAAACAACGGAGAAATCATATCCACAACAGTTTACAATCTCACAAAAGATAAAACAAATTTAGTAGAGAAAATGGACAACGAAGAACACTCTATTGCAAAAACAATAGATTCAACAGACGAAGAAATTTATATAGAAAAAACACAATTGTTTACAAAAACAATCTCCTCAACAATGAATATGACAGCAAAAGAAATTATTGACAATAAAAAGAAAACAAATATTGAATCTCAAACTTATGTTATTTAATCATCGACTAAATTTAGTAACACATTCGATATCGATATTGAAGCTAAAATGTTCCCTCACCTTTTTCCATATAGCCGTGGACACATAGGAGAAACTGATAGACGTATTCCAATTTCAAAATTTGAATGCATAAAACATTATTGTCTCTTAAGTCATCGAAAATTTGCAAAAGATTCATATTTCACTTTAGTTATGTTCGATAAATAAGCAAATATATTCAAACCTATAACAAATATATTCAAAATTTGCAAAAGCTATTCAACGTTGTTATACCATGTCTCACATCACATGCACAACCAACCCACAAATACAACAACCTATAACAAATATATATCGAAAAGATTTAGAAATAACTTTAGAAAACAAACAACGAAGATTATGTGGTCATAACTCGCTCCCAATCAATGACGCTGCACAAAAATTATTACATCATGTTGAATATGCTTCATCTTATGTTTGAGGTAGCAATGCAGAACAACGAATGCATCATCAATAAGTTTTTGCAACAGGGGATAGATTTGGTCAACCTACAATATTCCTAACATTGACACCTAACACAAAAACAATTTTCATAATAGCCTCATATACAGGACTTACAAAAATAAATAATTTATTAAATAATTTATAAAAACAACAATATATACCTATATCTGAAAAAAAAAAAAAACATGATATGAAAATAATATAGCTTCGGCACGATTGTTTGATAGATTGATAACAATATTTTTTAAACACATCGTAGGGTATGATAATACGACACAACCACCAACCATAAAACCTGGGTTATTTGGATATATCGATGCTTACTGCGGTATGGTTGAAACTCAAGGACGTGACATTACATTTACATTGTCTTCTTTTGGTAAAAAAACGCACCAACAACAACTGTAGAATATGAAAAATATACAAAAGACGAAAATTTATTAACAAAAATACTTAACTATACAGACAATATAGTTAAAACAAATTTACCAATTGAGGTAAATACTGTACCTTGTCCTCAATGTAATAATGTAGCAAATTTTCAAACAATCGATATGCCACTATTTACATTTTAAACACCTTTTCAAAAAAATCAAGAGGACTATACTCCAACAAAACCAACAATAACAAAGTGTAAATATTGTAATCAAGAAATAAGTGCACCATACATAACACGTACAACATTGCTCCAAACATCAAAACATAAAACTCCTACCATATATCAAGAAATAAATCCGGCAAAAACTACTTATATCCACCCTGTAAATGATCCAATTTTTAAACATGAACTTTATCAATATCTATTGAATATGCCAAACAATTTACAACAACTAAACACTGATGAAAGTGACCTAAAGCATAATAAAATAACATTAATTCTTCTAACTCAAACTCATCATTGGGCACACACTCCTTCATTTTTCAAAAAGTCGCGTACAACTGAAAACTCAAAAAGTTGTCGATATTTATATCCTCGTACACGTACAGCAAAAAAAGTAATGAAAAACTATGGAATACAAATATGGCAACCATTCAGACATGAATATATAAATGACTTTAATGATATTATACTATCTACATTTAAAGTGAATCATGATATACAAATTTTAATAGAGGGACAAAAAAATGTCGAAGTAGTTTTTTACATAACTAGTTATACAGCAAAATATCAACATAAAGTCGACAGCAATACGACTCTCGCTCTTGCTGCATTCGATGCTCGGATACAACGAGAAAACGAACAAGAAAAAAACGAACAACTTATAAACGAAACAAAAACAAGAAGACGAATTTCATCACAAGTTTACACATTAACAAACAAGCAAGAAATTATTGCACCGTTTTGTGCATTGTATATTTTACGACACATTTGTGCATATAAAAGTCATTCATTTAAAAAGCTACCTATTAAACAAATGTTAAATTAATTATTGAAAGAAACATAAATAATTTGTACGATTGAAAAATAATAAAACACGTACATTGTACATCGTCCACTAGATCATTATATCTACAAACCACAAAAATTATTAAATTGTTCTTTGCAATAATTCTCAATGCTACATTTTCGTGTCATTCGAACGGCGAGCACATCAAAAGAACGTTTGTTTTTAAAAGAACACCCAGAATATGAAAAAAAATATATAAGACAAAATAAATATCCATATATTCGATTAATACCATATAATACTAGAATATCAAATTTTCAAAAATGTGAATCTGAAGATGCAAAAAATAAACATGCTCAAACGACTTTACTTCTTTTTAAGCCATTCAGAAAAATAGAAGATTTAATCATATTCACTCAAACATGGTTTTCAAAATTTGAAAATTTAAAAACACAAATGTCCTCATTTGTATTACAAATATACAATAACATGCAAGATTTTCATATTGCCAGAACAAAAGCTTCAAAAACACGAATTGACCGCTTATTACAAAAAACAAAAACTGAAAACGATGAACATACTGAAAG